AACAAGAAGCTAGTAGTAACAAGTGCCACGCTAGTAGTAACAGGTGCCTTACTAGTAGTAACAAGAAGCTAGTAGTAACTTGCAATAGCTCATTTTCACCGAGCGGCGCCGCGGTGTCCTCCCAGGACATGTAGCTGGCAGCATCGATGCCTGGTCAGGTTTCGCGATGAATGGTTTGAGCACATTGAGCGCCCTGTGAGCCACACGGTAAACAAGGCTAGAGATGGTTGAAAGAGGTCAAAGGGGAGTACAGCTGAAGGACGGGTGGCCCGGGAAAACAGCAGTTGCGAAAAAGGAAGCAGAGGTAGCTGTGGGACACTTGCTTGACAACCGAGAAACCCACGGAGAACACACAGCAGTCACAGCACCAAGTATTCAGCTTTTGCTCACTACGACCCCAAACCACAGGCCAAGCTTACTGTACGCTTCAAAGGGGTATGAAGCACAAACGCGTTGCGCTGTCTTTAAAAAGTGCTGTGGCAGTGGGTTAAAACAGGGGGACCCTGGTGAACCACCGAAGAAAAATATCAACGGAAACCCTGGTTTGTAGGGTGAGGTTTTGATCTGCCATATGCTGTTGCTATGGTCCATGATCGCCAGTGACGCCAGTGGTCTCTCCATGATTTTTGCTTATTTATGGCACCATGAAAGCCAAGTATCTCCCTGACCCAACATGAAGAAAAAAAAGACTCACTTGTGCATCCAACCAATTGTCGTCCTAGCTGTCTCCATGCACTGGCTCAGCAAAAGACCCAGGTTTCACCCGGAGGGTATGCCAGATGGGAAGATCAAGTCTCCAAAAGCCAACACAAAAACGAAGGAACACGCACCTGAAATATCATTAGTGAACACGTCGCAGCTCACCGCTTAAACCACCAGTTTCCTTATCCCCGAAAAGGCTCAGACATCTTTGACTCTCATTTCATCACTCCTCCGCCCCCAGCGTGTACCGGTCCTCTTTTCTCTGCATATGATGGTTGTGTCTTTATGGGTTCGTGAGTCGTGGTCGGGCCCATCTGTCTCTAGGAGTTAATCTGTTGGGTCACAATGGTAACAGCCAAGATGGGAGAATGAAGGGGCCTCTAGGCGACCGAAGTGATCCCATCGGCTGCCGTGTCTGACTGGGCCCCTTCTTGGATCTGGGGCCTATGAACCTAAGGACTGTTTATGCCTGGTCTGGATAACATCAACCACTTCCAAAATGCTAGAGGCACAAGGGAAGGGCCACGAGCAGGCCCCAGATTGAAGGGGCCCAGATGTGACCAGGCTTACAGATTTTAATTAAGGAGTCACCAGGCGTAAAGAACCTACCTTTTCTCTGCGGTCCGTCTCGCGTCGAGGTGCGGATCATGGTGACGCCCACGTCGTGGAGTTCCATGAGATGCTTCGCCAAGGTCTCGCGCCTCGGGACTCGGGACCGCCCGGACGGTCACCGCTCCGTTCGTAGCGAGGGATGCGTGTGTGGAGAAGGCAGATCGTTTCAGCAAGGAGTTTTGGGAAGATCTTCTCGTCGAAACATCAAAGGGCAAAGTGGGCCAGCCTCATCCAGCCTCTATGCGCGATGTCATCACGCGAAGATATTAGACATGTCCACCCAAACCAAAAGGTTTGAGGTCGCCTGGAAAGCACCAAATCGATTTTGCAAGATTGTTGGAGCCTCTTGAAAGGATCCTCCTAAGCTCTTCTCTGCGAGAGTGTCCCTCAAGATCTAGGAACCAAATCAACCATGGAAACCTAAGCCTAGTAGTTTCCTTGCTACTACTTACCCCCATCCCCCCTTCACCGCCTACCCGGCCTACCCCCCTCCAAAAACAAGGTCACAAACTAGACCCAGTTCGTCGGTTCGTTCACACCCAGTGGCCCCGAATTCCTGGTCATTCCTCTTCAAGGATGGCTTCACGAGGTTCCCAACCAGTGAAGTCCTCTGCAGAAGAATTGCACCAACGAATTTACAGATTGGGGCTGCGGATGCACACCCATCCGCAGCTAATAAGTTAAATAAGCTACTAGGAACAAGTGCATCGCTTCTAGTAACAAGTGCCTTACTAGTAGTAACCAAAAGCTACTACTAGTAAGGCACCTGTTACTACTAGCGTGGCACTTGTTACTAACGAGGAACGGGACGACCGTCGACTTCCACCGACCCTCTGCCCAGGACACGTGCCCTGGAGGCCGGTGTTCCAATCCTCGAGAAAAAGCATACAGAGAACATGAGGACATCGGGTGTTCCATGTTCAGAGCAAAAACAGCCTGAAAGTTGAACCTCTGAGCATTTCATCTGGGGATCTGATCATGAGATTAGGTGGTTCAACAGTTTCCTTTTCTTGAGTTCATCGGCTTGTCAACAAGCTCGGACCCACTGATGCTCACGCGGCGAGAGAACCCATCCATTAGCATCCAGCATTCCAACTCTTGCGATACTGGGTCAAGCAAGAGCTTGGGCGTTACCAACTTGGTGAAAGGAACCAGTGTGAGTGAAGCGTTGGAACAGGCCCCAGCCTTCAACATAGGAGACGTTGGTTGCGGCTTACATCAAAGCCAACCCTCATTCTAGGTACTATATACAACCTCTAACCTGTAAGTGCAGCTTCCCATAAATTCACCGGAAAAAAAAATGTCAAATACCCAAAGTCCTGGTGAAGGTGTCAGTTGACAACCATATGTCAAATTCTCAAACGTCTAGGAACCAAACCAGTAATAATAGGCTGAGGCTTCAAGCCTAAGAAGCTACTTAAGCTGAGTAGCGCACCCTCTATTGCTTGTTAGCTGAAGCCTGCGAGCGGCCTACGTCCCCTGGGCCAAGAAAAACACTGCAACTTCTCCGATCCAAACTGATCAATGGAATCACATGAGTCACACACTTAAGATTCCCAGCGTCTGGCAAGCCCTTGAAGTCACATTGCGTGCAATCCCCCGGAGGATCGCCTGCCAGTCGATCGCATCGCGGATCGCATCGCGGATCGCATCGCGTGACGCATCGCGTGACGCGGTCCTTGGCCGGTGTTTGTTTCTTTTTGGAAGAACAGAATGGGGAACGGGTGAAGCAGTGCATCGTGAACATAACCAGCCTTGAGCTCTCGAACTCTTTAAGTGCGAACCGGTTAGGCTTCGGATATCGACCAAGGGACCTGTTGCCTTTTTGAAGTCATCTCAATGGCCTGCATGGAAACTAGCGATGGCCTCCAACCTAGTAGCGATGGCCTCCCGACTTCTGTATTTAGGGATGTCTTCTCACGATGACCATGTCCTCTTCTCGTTGTTCGGTCGCTGGACAACTCTGCCCAGGTCACTCTGTGGGCAGGTGAAGGATGGCTCTTCGACGGGACAGTTCCCCATCCTCAGTGGCCAAGCCGGTGCTTCGACCGGCGCTTGCGTTGCTCTCGCGAAGGCCTCGGTGGTTTGGGACAAGGAGTTTCTTCGTCGAACACCGTTGGTGCAACGTTTGTGCAAGAACAGGGCAATGTTTTTGGGCTCCCATGCACTCGCGTTGCTTGTGGTAGGGCCTTCCGATGGGACCAATGCCAGCTAGAACAGATTCACCACTAAACATCGGCTCGTTCTGACGAGTATCAGTTTTGGCAGCCAGTGTCACAGGCAGAGGAAACGCAACTTTGTGTGTGTGAGAGACACAACCAAGGGACTGGCACATTTCCCTCGCTCAGACTCAGGAGTAGAGCACCGCCAACCGCCCAGTAGAGCTGACCCTTGTGGGCAATTTAACGAAAAAGACTAGCTGGTCTGGCTGAGGTGTAGTATGTTGGACACCTCAATATAATGTTGAGAAGCTTTGCTGTCGGATTGGTTGATCCGGTGACAGAGATTTTATCTAAGGACTTGGCAGACACCCCATGGACATACACCCAGAAGTCAGCTTTATATTGCGGTGATTCCCAGCATCCCGCAGCCATCTTCTTGGTTGTGGTCAGCAATCTTACATCCATGTATCCACCAACATAGAAACTGGCTGACAAGAACTGCACTCAATGAACCAAAAAAGGTCAACAGGTGTTTGATATTCTGCGGGAAGAAAAAAACTTGACCATGGCTGGGCTAAGTGTGCGAGCACTTTACTTCAAGGGGGCTCAAGGGAGAGTACCATGTGGAGTACTGTGGGAAATTCAACCATTTGAGGCTGCAAGCGCAGCAGTCAAAGGGGTCAGGCTGCGATTGCAAAGGTTCTAAAACTTGTTGTGACAGTGAACCACCGTAAAGAACACCTGTCTTGAATTCGCAAACATTCTGAAAGACACACTTGCAATCAGCACCTAGTGAGATGACAGAATTGAAATCTGCTTTTCTTCGCAAAACATTCTGAGCGCCATTTTGAAAGACTTTCCTTTTGGCAAGATTGATTTGGACTTCTTAGTTCCCCAGTTCGCCCTAGTCCACCGGTGCGGCTCGAACGTGCCATGGTGTGATCTGGAGGTCGACAGAACGTGCCATGTTCCGTTGCACCAACACATCCCATTAGGTTGGAGGCCATTGCTATTACGTTGGAGGTCATCGCTCATAGGTTGGAGGCCATCGCTAGTAGGTTGGTTGGAGGCCATCGCTGTTTATATCCAGGTGTCAGGTTCCCCAAGATGTTGTGAAAAAACTCTGGGCCCTTCCAGCCATCCTGGAGGCTCGCTCGGCCATGAGACATGGACAGCGCGGGTATGGTGATGTTCTTTTAGGGGTTCCACGTGATTCCATGAATCTTCTCACCCAAACATGAGCCATCTGAAGACTGTTGATCATAGCTTTTGAGAATAAGCTCTCCAAGAAATGAAAAAAGAACACGGGCGCCAGAAATCATCGTGACCAATACGATGATGATGGGCAACAGTAAGACCTACATTGCAAGACCTACATGCCCAAAATTGTGACAGATCCTTAACTGAACACCTAGACCGGGATCACAACCCCACGTGCCATCCGACAGTGCATGTGGCCTCCTTTCAACACCAAACGGCATGAACAGTGTCAGAGTTGGTGATGCTCAGGAACTCCAAGAAAACCCAGCTGGCTTTATCACATAGACATACGTAGTAGCACGCAAGAACCAAAAAAAAAAACATATATATATATATATAAAAGCATAGTTGTCACATGTTGTCACATCTTCCTTTTAGAAACCTCTCTCCCATCGGCTTCCGCACTTTGGAACACTACCCCCCACCACCATCGGCACCGTCCTGGGTGTTGATGCGGCGGTTCCCATAGCTGGACCCGGCCCAGCCCGTGCAGGGCATCACTGCCGCATAACCTGCCTGGAAAACAGGGCGACGCGTTTGGCGTGTTCACGAAGACATGATCCCGGGCAAGAGGTGGTAGAATTAGTTCTGAGCCCGTTCTGCACATCGACAACCATATCCAAGTCACAACGCCCGCCACAAAAATAGAAAACACTTCGAAGTAAAACGCATCCGATCTCCCGCACTTGGGACTCCAAGTCAACGAGGAATCTCCGTCAACGAGTTCCGCCACCACGAGAGGGTGTGCTCCTCTGATACAATGTCCACACACATCAGATTCTGCGACCCTGCACACGCGACTCCGAACCTGCCGTTTTCGCTGCGTTTTCGCTGTTTGGGGAAAACACATCACATTCGCAATCGGCACATCCCTGTCGGAACAAACGAAGCTAGCTAAGGTTTGAAAGTTGCAGAAAGAAAAGGTAGAACAAGCCCTATCAGCATGATGATATAAAAACGCTTGTATATCCTTGGCAGATTCTGCTATCAGGAAGTAGTTCTTGGGAACCCAAGGAGTGCTCAGCACAAGCAAAAGAAAGTGCGCAACGCTGAAGTGTCAGTTGAACAGGCTCTTCATTCCCACCTGAAGACCCCTGGGCAACCAATTTCACAGGATGTCACAGGCCCAGCATGAACCACCAATTCGCGTTGTGGACACATGTTTCTGACCTGGTCTCGTAGCACAATCCGTTCGGGGACAAGAATGGGAGAACTGCAAGAAAAGTGAGTCGCTATTTCTATTTGCTTGTTGCGCAGATTTCCCTACCAAGACTAGTCACTAGTGCTCGGTCTGGCCTCAAGTGCGCTGGGGCAGGGCGCAGCGATGTGGTTCAAGATCACATCCACCATGACCTGCGGGGCAACGTCAGTGTTGCGAAGTTGGTCTTTAATCACATCTCCAGCCCGGTGTCCCATGCGAACAAAGCATGCTCCTTTTATCTCAGCGCAATCAGCTGGGGATTCAGCTTCTTGAAAAGGCAAGGGTCTGCGCATCTTTCTAGATGAGCAGGAACTTGGAAAAGCTTGGAGATCGCGAAGATTAGACGAGAGGCCTCCGTTTGCTAGGTCCTCTAGGTGCTTGGCACTTACACAAAGTTGTCTCACAAGCCACATGAGTGCGTCACATGAGGGCATCTCAATCTCATGGTTAGACCCTCGAAATCACTCTTACCAACACTCTCAAGTCCTGAGGTGCCGTTTTCTCCCACATCGGTGTCTGAAAAAAAACTCGTCCCAGCTCGGCCAGCTCCGAGACTCGTGATGGAAAGCTTTTGGAACAAAATCGAGAACAAAAACGATGGCCACCCAAGGGTTCGATGGCCTTCCTAAAGGCGATGACTTATCCAACAAAATATCTGTTGACAAAGTCCTGTCGGGTGAGAAAGTTAGCAGGTTCAATTCGATATCAAAAAGTCAGGCCTTTACCATCTCAGTTCATACGCTCTTCTACTCTGTTGTTTCTGTTTGTTTCCGTTTTGCTTCCTGCTGTTTCATGCCGTTCCCTTTTTCAAAGGCCATGGCCTGCCCCCCTACTACTTTAATTAAGTAGGTGGCTACTTCATTAGGTAAGGGCTCAGTCAGCTGCTAGGTACTGGAAGCGGGATAGCTCACGCACCAATCATTTGGCTCATTAGGGAAAGCTAGTGGGGGTCTCCGAAGAGTTTTAGTGAACAGTTCTACTCGTAGATTCTACTCAGTAAAGTGCTGGGTTTGTCTCACTTGAGTTCTCCGCCTCTCTCCTCTCTCCTCTAGTTCTCTCTCACGCGATCCCCGTCTCCACAAGTGTTAGCAGTTAGCATTAACCACTGTGGGTCACGGCGACGGGTTCCTGGCCACTGTGGACTTCAACGTGTGTTGTCGCTATCTTCGCTTTGAAACACGTTGTCAGGAAACACTTTGAAACACCTTGTAGCTTGGGGTCAAAGTAAGAGAGCGGGACGTCATGGGAACTGCGTTTGGAATTCAGGTTTTTGGGGAAACGTGCCGTTAAATTGCGTTGCACCCAGTGCATGGATTGTCTCACCATGTAATCCCCTTACACAAATGGTAAGTGCTGCCGTCTTCTAAATATGAACACAGCAGGGTTTGTGATTGGTGCCTTTACCATTCAAAATCTACAGGTCTTCAAGTATGCATCAAAACACATACTTGAGCACTGCAACCGCATGTGGATCAACATAGCAACTCTGCCCCCAAATCCTGTAGAAAAGCGAATCAGCAATCTTGACCATCTGGAATTAGCTTGCATTTACTTTGGTAGGCCTTTCCGAAACCCACTCCTATAACTAAAACCTGAAATCCCTAGCAATCCTCCGCTTTATGCTAATCATCTTTGTCAGAAAGTGGAGCCTAAATTCCAGCTATCACAGTGGCCGACTCTGTGCGAAGCTCAGTCCCGATGAACCAACATCTCCTGCGATTACGGATCCACAGACTGCAAAGATCTTCGAGGATCACAAAAGTGTCCGGATCGTGCTCAAAGAAATTGAAAGAAACAAGGAAAAAGGATGAAAAAGGGCCGGATCGCTTGTTCTACCGAAAATCCTGGATCCTTTGATCATTGACACAACTTCTTCTACCAACTCTGAATCGTGGTGGTGGAGATTTGCCCTTCGTTTGGTCAAGAGGTACAGGTGAGGCAGAAATCAACGTGAGCCGTGAAAAGAAACATGGGGGTGATTTGGTTTCTGAGCGACAACCCAGTATATAGTAACATGGAGGTCTATGTCATTCTAGGTTATTCAACTACCTGCTGCTGTTGAGGGAAAGAGTTAATATGAGAAAAGCTACGTCTTTTTGTTGAGCCCAAAGTTACAAAAGGAAGGCATCTTATCCTAAATGATGTTTCAGACGTCCCCGTACCCAAAACTCCATTCAGCATGGTGGGGAAAAGTCTCAATTACATAATACCTCTGGGCTCACCATTCTAATGGCTTGGTCACACTCTTTCTTGTGAAAGGCCACCGGTCCTCGCCCTGGCTGCGTTCCACCGCCTGATTGACCTGAGGGGACGCGTTCGTCGCCTACTGCGTCTTCCTGCGTCAAAGGACAAGTCTTGCAGTGTGGCGGGACCTCTTAAGGAAGACTTGTTACGCCACAAGTCCCGGATGGCTTGTTACTTGTTACTATTGGCTCTTGTTACCAGTAGCAATGGCCTCCAACCTACTAGCGATAGCCTCCAACCTAGTAGCTTCTTGTTACTAGTAACTTCTTTCCTGTTCGGGATGAACGCTCCAAGGGAATCCCTTCCCGTGACCCTTAAGTGGCTGAACACCGGTGGAACAACTCCGTTTGGTCCCCGACCACAGATTCGTTCGGTCCGACCGCTGCGGATTTGTTGGGACCGTTCGCTCGGTTCGCAGCTGTTCCCTGAGCTGTTCGCGCCTGCCAGGAGCACCGTACGTAGCGTCCGAACGCTCCGTTCGTAGTATGG